AGGGAGTAAGTAATGGCCGTCTGCAGCAAGAAATGGATCTTATGCAATCCAGCAGGATTTCATTTCTCTTACGAGGGTTGTTTCCCCAGAAGGAAGAACAGAGTACCGTATCCATCTCTTAGCATCACCACTTGCTCTTTATCTAAAGGCATTTGAGAGCATCCTTTTTGATCTTGCAAATCTCTTCTCCCAAAGAACATCTATGCCAGGTAAAGGTGCACCACTGTGAACTGTGAGCTCTGCTTGGACGCAGCAGGGGATTTTTTCTGAAAGATGGTGATGTTTGGAGTCCAGCCAGGGACACGCAGGTGGCACTCTCAGTCTACACTGTTACTCCTTTTAGGGTGGGTTCTCATTATGAAAAGTACCTTTCTTGTTCATTCCAGGGTGTTTCTTCTCACATTGTTGATCTTGTATTCAATGAATACATTGGGGAAGCAGAGAGCCGTGCTCAGGTGCGAGATGCCCTTTTTGATGCAATAGGAGATCACATGTTTACTTTCCCAGCCATTGAAGTGGCTAGGTACCACAGAGGTGAGTCTCTGATTCAACATCTATTCATATCAACAATGTTTTTCATTCTTGCGCATGTCTTTGGACTTTATGTATGCGTCACACTTTGCTATCAGAAGATCTGGTAGTGTTTTGATTTTGTCAATTTAGCTTTGGTGAAAGTTCATCATCATTGTTGACTGGCATTTGCAATACGAGCATTCTTGCGTTCAATTTTATTTTCTGTTAGATGCTGGCCACCCAGTCTACTTCTATGAATTTCAACATCGACCAAGCTCAGCCATGTCAGCCACAGGTGTCGTTCCAGAGTTTGTAAAAGCAGATCATGCAGATGAGATTGCCTTTGTCTTTGGAAGGCCATTCTTAGCAGGTGATGTATCTGTGCTTGCTAAACAATTCTTTTAAAATCAACATTGTTATTAATTTCTCTCACCTGAGGACTTTCAGAATAGAATTTTGCTTAGTAACACTGGAATCAAAATAAGCTGGTTTTTTTTCTGTTTTTGGTAATAGTTACTTGTCATTAATTAATTCATCTGCTCTGCTCACATAGAACTTCCACAGCCCAGAGTAACAAGTAGGTTCATAGAATGGTGTGGACTGGAAGGGTCCCTTAGAGATGGTCTTGTCCACAGCCCCTTTGAACTGGTTACAGTGTATTGGAATTGACTGGACTGCTGTTTTTTGATTATTGATTTTTGAATATTGCCATTTCTTCTCTCATTTTGCAGGGAATGCTACGGAAGGAGAAAGTAAACTTAGCAGAACTGTTATGAAGTACTGGACTAACTTTGCTAGAAACGGGTGAGATCCGTAGCGCTAACTGCAGCTCAAGTTTTGTCTGTGCTGCCTGAAGCGTAGCAGCAGCATGGTAGTTCCTGTAAATGTGGCAGAGTTTAAGATAAGTACTGAAACAAATAGTTTCTCTTCTTAACGATTGCAACAAGAACTCTGGAAACGAACACGCAATCCCAAACAAAATCCAAGAGCTTTTTGTATCTGCAGTGGAGGATTAGATCCCCAAGTAAGGGCAAACATCATTACGTGTTTGCTGTTCCAGTGATGAGCTTTTTGATAAAAACATCCATCTGTTCAGCTACTAGAATCGTGCAATCTGAGCTCCTGTTAGTCTTCTGAAACGACCTCAGGTTGAGAAGTCAGAGCACAATGGAGAGGTAACTTTTCATTTTTGTGCTTCCAGAAATCCCAATGGGGAAGGCTTGGTGCATTGGCCTCAGTATGGTCTGGATGAAAGATACCTGGAAATAGACCTCATACAAAAGGCAGCAAAGAAACTGAAAGAAGACAAAATGGAGTTTTGGGTACAGCTCACAGAACAGATGAGGAGTGAAAGAAGGCGAGAGCACACAGATTTGTGAGAGCTGCAGAGGATACATTTTCCTTTTACAGTCTGAAGTAAGGTCAACAGCAATTTGTCAGAATGCCGATTTTAACCTTGACTTTCTAACTCACTAATGTGTAGTTTGTTGTCATGATCGCAGGAAAACTACCCTTGATTCTCTCCCTCAGTGAACAGAGAGTTTCAGGGGAAGTGCAAGATGCTCATGGAAATAAAAATCAATGATGAAGCAAGCGGGGGAAAAAAACGTCTCTCAGGTTCAAACAGACCCGAGAGGGTGGTGGCACACAGGAACAGGTTGCCCAAGGAGGTTGTGGATGCCCCATCCCTGGAGGCATTCAAGGCCAGGCTGGATTGGGCTCTGGGAAGCCTGGTCCAGGTGACCCTGCACATAGCAGGGGGGTTGAAACTAGATGATCATTGTGGTCCCTTTCAACCCAGGCCATTCTATGATTCTGTGGTATCCAAGGGAATATTGGCAAATATATTGAAATGTACAAGTAGTTATGTTTACTGAATATGTCATAGGTGTCACAGAATGTTGTTTGTTCCTTCTGCTCTTCCTTTCTGAGAGTGTCCTTGGTTGTCATTCTTCCAGCCCTCCTGTGAGGGTAAGAGCATCCGTCTCAAACCAGCCATGGGATCACAAGTGTTTTCCTGTTCTGTAAACTGTTACAAATACTGGAGCTGCAGGCAGAACGTTCAGCTGCAAGCTGGAACAGTGGCTGCCTCTAAATTTAACTTGTTTGGCTTTTCTTGTAAGTGTATGTGCTATGGTAGGCCTACAGGGTAAGAAATTATACCTCAGGATTCATTTATCAAATA